ACACCTTGGTTTAGCAGATAAGCTACCCCAGGTTCTAGACAGGGTGATTGGTTGTGGAATGGTTCCTGGTCAAGTTCCAAAAATCCTTAGCAAGTGCTTAGTATTGTCCCAAGATTCTAATTTACACATAGAATTTCTCATTCATGACATGGTACAAAAATGGGAACACTCCTCTTATGGTTACTTAATTGTGCTTTGATAATGAATGCATGTGATGTGTTTTCATGCAACTTAAGTGCAGAAAGGCTATTACTGACCATTCATAATTGCAAACACTCTTTGAACATGGATAAATTTTTTCAAGTCAAATTATATTCTGATCAAAACATTATAATCCACAGTCAATTGAATGGGTTTTGTTATCTGTGCCTATAGCCTAATTAGTCCCACTCAAATTAGAACAATAGAAAGACTTTATTTTAACCCTGCCATAACAAAATAGCTCAGGTGAAATACTCCTTGATATTGCAATAGATTTCAAGGTTGTAAATCATTTTTAAGTCATTAATTGCTTGGATCAATAATACTTCAAATCATGTAGATTCTTTCTTAGGGTTCTTTCTGTTATGCAGAAACAATGTTATGAAGCACTGTCCTTTTCATCTTAGTTTTGGTGAAGAATTGGGCTACTGTCCTTGAATTTGAACTCATAGCTAATTATTCAAAACTTTGCAGAGCTTTAAGAAAAATGGAAGCTGGGTGTGATGGGGCACATGCCTTTAGTCCAAGCATTCTAGGCGAGGCAGAAGCAGGCAGATCTCTATGAATTTCTAGCCAGCCTGGTCTACATAGTGAGTTCCAGACTAACTATTGTTTCATAGTAAGATCTGTTCTCAAAAAAAAAAAAAAAAAAAAAAAACGGGGTGGTGCTGATATGGCTCCAGATTTCATGCTCAAGTTACTTATTTCTACCTTGAACTGTAACTAGAAATTGCCAACAAATAAAACAAGAACCTTACAATTGCCTCTTTCTGCTTGAACAGGTACTTGCTATAATCTGCTGCTCCCAAATGAGATAATAGTATGGCCCTGTCAAACTCCCCTACTCTATTTATTTCACTATTAAATTTTATATATATATATAGTGTTTTGCATGTGTGTTAGTCTGTGTATCACATGTGTGCCTGGTGCCCTCAGAGGGTACAGTAGGGAAGATGTCAGATTCCCTAGAACAGAAGTTACACATAGTTTTGAGTTGCCATGTGGTACTTGTTATTGAACCAGGTCTTCTGAAAGAGTAGCCATCTCTTAACCAAACTGCAGAGCTATCTCTTCAGCCCTACCTCCCTGTTTTAAAGGCTTGGGTTTGAAACTCAAGGAATAGTGGACTCAGAGCAAATAGGCTTTATCCTGAGCATGAGTAAGTAGCCAGTGTGCCATTAGAAGGAATCTACTGATTGATGAGATTCAGTTTAACACTAGATTAGATTATGTGGACATACTGTGCAGCTTGGATCTAGGCTTAGGCTTTTCACACATCTGACCAGAGTACTCATTTTGGTATTGGAACTGTTTACACAATTATTGCTAGTTAGAGAACATGGATCAATATAAAAGAAATCCTAAAATTCTACTTACTTTATAAAATGTACTAAAGCAACAGAAAACAGTACAAGTAATTGATGTAAGCTGGTCATGAACAGTAATATTGAAAAAAGCCAATTATAGTGTGTTCAGGATGCACACCTTCAGTCTCTTCAGAGGAAGATGGATCTCTGTGAGTTCAAGGCCAGCCAGTGATACATACTGAGATCCCGTTTTAAGAAAATGAAGTTTACTGCAAGATATAGTTGTTATAGCAGGGCCAATGTGCCCTAAGAATTTTGCCAGAGACTAGCACAAGACAAAGAACTCTGGTTTATGCTCTTGACATTTTAATGGCTCCTTCCTATACCATAAACAAAGCAAAAATACAATCACCCAAGCCAAACACTAATTTTAAACAATTGAAAGAGGTCTTCCTGACTCCAAGTAAATAAACAATGTTGCAATCTAATTTGTCATAATCCTCTCTTCTTTCATCCCTGCATTTGAAGTTAGATTTCTATCCCCAGAGCCCCCAAAGCAATTCAGTTTATTCCTACAATCTTGGCTTAGTACTGAACTATGATGAGTGTTACTACAGCTTTTGCAGGCTCTTTTCTGAAAAGAACATTAAAGACTAAATAAACTAGTATGTATACCTTGCATAAAGTCACCACTCAATGTGAATGGATTTCATAGATCTGGCTTCCTGGCAGACACCTCTTAATCGAGAGTTTCTAAGACTGTGTTTCATGGCACCCAAAATTGAGAAAGCCGCAGAGTGTATATTTTCCCAGGGTTGGTGGGAAAACATTCCTGAATATGTCAAACTGAAAATTGGAGTCTCTGAAACTGCCTGATGTTACATGTTGTTTCCTTGTTGGGCTAGAAACTTTAGAAGAACAAGGCATTACCCTTCCTGGAGTCCTTTTTCATCCTGTGCATAGCTCATGAAAAGATGTTGGATGTAAGACTTGATAGACGCTGGATCTCCTGGGACAGCATCCCTTGCATCTCCATACTCTAGGGCTGAGACAACTTGCCTGACCTAGCACTCTGCTAGTGTGGATAAAGATCATGATAGAAATAGATGTTTGTTCTGGAAATCATATCCTCACTGCAATGTCAAAATGGTAGAAGAACCTTGCATTATTTTCAGGGTAAACTTAATACTCTGATAATCAACATTCTCCAGTATTGCATTATTTTATTTCCAATTTTCTTTCTTTCAAAATATCAAGATATAAATTTATAAAGCATTTGGTATTGATCTCAACCACTTGATAATCTTCAGGCAGAAATGTTTTATTTTTATCTCTTGGAATTGCAGTCATTAATTATTAATAATCCATCTTCCCCAAATTTTATTTTTCATGTTTTTTAAAAAGTCAATTCATTTTATAATGGCTGTCTAAAATTGTGCACTTCTATGTGACTATAACCCGAGGACTGTGTTTAGGCTATCCTTTGTATCTGTGGGAGTCTGGGATTGGGGGAGGATCAGGGTCTTTATCAGTCATGAGCGGCCAGAACTCAAACTGTTTCTTGAGTAGCTGAAATGGATGAATAATGTTCCAGCCAACTGTGTGCTTCAGTTTCTGCTGAAAAAACTTTCCACCTAATGGTGGTCATATCCTATATCCATGTGTTCATCTCAGGGTGAAGCGACTTCCATCTGAGTTTCATTACTCTTCTAGGAAGGATCAGTTATACAACTGGAATCAGGAAAGCAGTCAAAGTAATTGCAACTGGCAATCAGGGAAATATAACATTTTTAGCTTGAGAGCACATGTTCCAATATAAAGGAAAAATATTTTCCTGCAACTGCAGGGCGCATATTTCCCAGGGCCAGAAGAGACCATGCATATGTACTAGTGTTTCCTTCCACAGCATACTGATGTCCCTGTAAAGCATTTCTTTCTCTCCAGGGACAAGGAACTCATTATCTCTCTAGGAAACCTACTACCCTTTTGATTCTGATTATTTGAAAATTTATCATTGCAACAGAGACAAAATTCCTCTGTCTGTAGTTAACACCCTTCAGAATTGAAGCTGTGTCTCAACACAGTAAATTAAGCCCCTTCAGATGCTCTCAGGTAGCTTATCCTCAGTGCTCACTCTTTCTTACTTTGCTCCTATAGCATGCATTCCTTTCCTATAGAGTAACATTGGTTTTCTTAGTCACTTTGTGTTTCCTCAAAGGAAACACAAATCGGCTCTTCTCTCTCTTAAGTTATTACAACAACAGAAAATTAGACTTTAACTTAGAAAATCACTGTGAAGAACATCTCTGGCCTTAAATAAATATTGGAACTGGTCAAATTATGCATTCCCTTTAAGCAGAAAGATTGCACAAGGTGAATAAGAGAGATGTGGAATTGTGGTCAACCCTGAAATATGCAAGTTCAGCAAAAACTCAGTGTTTTATCTGTAATGGATAGTAGTATAAAGCAGTATCCAGTGTGCCCTGAATACTGGCAACTAAGGCAGGAATAGGTGAAGGCTACTTATGGGGAGAAGGAGACAGAGTATATTCTAGGATATAGGTAGAAGAAAACCTTTTCCACCAACAGAAGCAGTTCAGTGCCTAGAAATTAAGAGGTGAGCAGAGTGAGCTGAGATTAGAAAAGTGTAGAGCTTTGTAGATCAGAGTTTAGATTTTACTTGAAGTGTAAGGGGAGATCAGTATAGGGTTTGCAGAAAGCACAGTATTTGAGATAATTTTTTAACCTTGTTCTTATGCCAGTTGTGAAACATACATAGAAAATACAAAAGGAGAGATGATACAGTCAGTTTGTGCTACAACATTGTGACTCTTAAATGAGATATTACATTCTGGAGGTTCAGACACAGGAACAGTAGAGAGATAGCCTCTATAGAACTTAACTTCCTTCACGAATGTGGACAACTTGGTGTTTCTTTTCTCCTTTTTGAAAAGATGACCAAGACAGGAATTGATATTATTCTTGGGATGACTGGATGAATTTACAGGATGTATAAGTAGCTAAACCTGAAATGGATTATTTGCTGTTGTGATATTCCAACTTATATTGCATCTTCAGACTCAGGCATTTTTTGGTTAAGTTTTTGTCTGTAAATGGAGTGAAATGAGAAGAAGAGAATGTGACCAGATTATTTGATGACCTTTGCAAACTATTTATTGCTAGTACAAGTGATCAGGCATAGAATCTGTGAGAAAAAAAAAATGAATTATTTGGGGCATCTGCATATTTTTGTTTTGTTTTGACTTCATTTGGTGATTTGGTCATAGTATGACGACACAATACCCTAAATGTTGCATAGTTTAGCATGGTGTCCCAGTACTACGTATTCTTAATAAACTAAACTAAAGTAAAATGTATTGAAACTCCTACAGCAGGATATGGAATAGTAACATAACATCACAGTGAAGCCCGAGTCAGAGTTTCCTCCTATGAATTTTGTCACCTGGTTTACAAGTACTTCTTGTTTTGCAGGTATTCCAGGAAGCGACTATGTAAATGCCAACTACATAGATGGCTATAGGAAACAAAATGCCTATATTGCAACACAGGGATCTCTTCCTGAGACATTTGGAGACTTTTGGAGAATGATATGGGAGCAACGGAGTGCCACAGTTGTCATGATGACAAAGCTAGAAGAAAGATCAAGGGTAAGGATGAGTATCTACTTCAGAATCCCTTCCACAGTCTTTGTGTTATCTATTTCATTCTATTCAGCATCTACTTTTCTCCTAGGGTAGCACTTTTGACAATCAGCCATTGAAAATGGATGTCAAAAACTCTGATTAAACTATTTTTTTAAAAACTCTTCTGCCCATCCTCCACACCCAGCACAATTCTGCACATAATTCACCAGGATCTTACCAGATCCAATTCAGGCCACCAGTGTTATGTTCTACCCCAACCTGTTCTGTTACTGTCAGAAACAAAGCTAAGAAAAGAAGTATAAATGCCCAGATCTCATCCACAAATACAAACAATATGAAAGATCAATGCAACATCTCCACCACCATTCCCAAATCCACCACTCCTATAGAGATGTTCACCAATGAAGATTACCTAGATGTACCTCAGGACACTGAATTTAGAAGGCCATCATCAAAGAATTGGAGGAATTACAAACCCTTTGGGAAAAGGCATAGTGTCTTATGCCCTTTTTACAACACCTAGGAGGCTTGTGCAAGATGCAGAGTTTGATACCAGTGCCAGCCAGTGCTTCATAAGTAGATCCTACCCCCCCTCCAAAAAAAGCTTCTAAGTCTTTTTTGTTTGTTTTGTTTTGTTTTTCGAGACAGGGTTTCTCTATATTGCTTTGGAGGCTGTCCTGGCACTCACTCTGTAGACCAGGCTGGCCCGGACTCACAGAGATGCACCTACATCTGCCTCCCGAGTGCTGTGATTAAAGGTGTGTGCCACCAACACCCAGCCTCTAAGTCTTTTTAAAAAGGCGTTTCCACATGTTAAGATAGTCATGGTTGGTACAGAGAAAATGAAAGTGATATCTGAGGAGATAATCACTTTGGTTAGAGAAAATGGATATTAGAACCTATAGAGATTTACTTCCATATGTACTTCCCACATTTTCACCGTTTTCTTTCTCATAGTCTACGTACAAGTTCTAAAACTTCTTGAAAAGGGGTCATATTAAAGTGTTCAAATTGGCACGATTTAACTCAGGGAAACCAGAGAATGATTCAGTCTTAAAAATGTCTGAGAAAATACAGAAATGTGTGAAGGGCATTTACTAATTTAGGCCTTTCCAAAATGAATGGATTTTAATAACAAGTCATTGCTAGTTAAGGTCTATGAAAAGAATTTCATACATCATATGGGTTCAATATTATAGTCCACAGCACATTAGTTAAATGCTATTGGGTTTGGAAATCTAAAACACAGCACAGAGGCAGTGTGCCATATTCCCTAATGAATCAGCAACTTGCATATGTGGCTGATGAAAATAAAGTTTTAACTTTGGGAATTTAACAAATAGGTTTCTGAAACCTGTCACTGGAACATGGGGGGCACCCATGCTGACTTTAAAACCTCAGGTAAAAGGTCTCTTTTTTTCTTTTTCTTCCTTTAAGCATATTAAAGATCCAAAACCCAGTTCCCTGTGTAAGAAACAAAGGGGATCCTTCATGTGTTCTTCCACATGGAAGAACATGTTTACTAAATGGAATTGGTCCTTATCTTAACTGTATAGATGACATGAGAACTTAAAGCTGCCCAGTAAATTTACCTAGTAAAAGCTTATATTGGTAAATATTAGAAATCTGCAATGCCACCTTAAAAGTGGGAAGTCAAGTAGTTGTAGTGTGAGGTTGCTTTAGCAAACCTAAAAAGCAGTGAGGTCTTTGAAAACACCTAATTCCGTATAAACTGATGAAGAAATGACTATCGCTTTAAAAACAGTATTTGTTTTATACTTTACATGCAAAACCCAGTGAGCAAACAAATGTACTCAAACCCCTGTGTAGCCCCAACTCAAATGATCCTTAGATATATATGAGTTAGTAATGATAACAATATCTAACCCATTTAGTATTCTAATATGTTATTAAAACCCTTTCTAAAAAGAATGATTGCTACTTTGTTTTTCCTATGAATAAACCAAGGCCCAGAAAATCAGTGAAAATCATTCTGAAAACAAGGTCAGAGAGAATTGACAAACAACATTCTGGCCCCACACTACACAGCCTTCCCCATCTGGCCATGCTACCTATGACACTCCTATGAAGCTGAGACAGCTGAACTATTCTACTGCAGCATGCATGTAAATTTCCCCATATAAGGTTTGCTCTGCCTAGAGATACCAGCCCGTAACAAGCAGTCATTTGCAAAAGCTGTTTTCAGTAAAACACACATTTTATCTTGACACTGCAGGCCTTCATTAAACTATGCACAGAAACTTGTTTTGAAATAACCAAATGAAATTCTGCCCCTTTTCTTCCTAATTGCTTCTAATAATAAAGTTAGTTCTAACTGGCCCCACTGCCTTGGCGACATCTGATGGTAATGAGCGGTTCCTGGCGGAAGGCATTGTGACTTAAATACCTGCAGTTTATCTTTTAGTTGCAGGCTACCTTTTCTTCCCCCTTCAGACAGAGGAACTTATTTGGAAGTTACTAAATGAACCTTTGTTTGCTCCCTTCATTAATTACTCTTTGAGCCTCCAAGTTTGGCGGTCTGCTTTATTAAATGGCCTAAGGAGGTCAATTAAATTGCTGTCCTGTGATTTTTATTCTGCAGTTGTTCACCATGTACCCAAGCTGGTGATGACCTGCATTAGCCAGCAGGCAGTTGGGCAGTCTCAGTCATCATCAATCTGACAAGACAGACGAGTCCTGACCCCCCAACATCCAAAGCCCTTTGTTTGTCCTTCCAGCACATTTTGGAAGAAGGACCAAGTCACTGGGCAGATGTAACAGAGCACTGGTGCCTCAGATGCCTCCTCATCTCTTCCCACTTCACCTTTCCCTGGCCAGTTGTTTTTTTCATCCACAGTAGCAAGAAGGAAAGGGAATGATTTCTAGATGCACAAGAATGTGCATTGAATTTCACTATAATAATAGTTATGAATAGTGGTTAGTTGTTACAGGGGTGCATAACTCCATACTTTAGGAATGTTGTAGGCTCTGTGCTTGACCTGAGAACTCAAGAGAATTGTTTTTATTCCCATCATCCAACCTCAAAGCAAATATTGAGCTAGCTTGATTCTAGGCTGAACCTTGAAATGTCATTAGTAGATGAAAGCTCTGGATTTCAATGATATATACAAGCCATATCATTTGAAAAAGTATGCGTACATGTGTATATGTGGGGTTGGGGTTGTACACATGTGTGCATGTTAATGTCAATTATGGTGCTGCAGGACACAGGGTTCAGAACTGTCACCAGCATCTTGAGTTCACTTGTACTTTAGGGACCTCCATTCCTGCAAAGCCAAGTTTCTTAATTCACCACAGAAACCAATTTCAGGATGGGCCAGTGTAAAGTACAGTTGTAGTACATTAAAAGACAAATTTAACACATGTCATATCAGAGGTTTAGAGAAAGGTGCTCCAAGATAGGTAAGAAATACTCAAGTATGAGTTTGAGCTTCTCAAAGGCCACCAGCACTTTAGTGGCCATATATGCCATTTTATTGGCTTTACGGTTATATCTCAAATGGTTAATCAAATGTTTCCCCTGCTTTCTGGTGACTGAGATGGTTCCAGCAATGTCTTAGCTGGGATTGTAATCTGGTAAGATAAAACAATGGGCCTAAAAGACTGCAAGAGATTTAAGATCTATCTTTACCTTAAATGGGGGTCTTAAATGTAATAGAAAATTACAGCTTTATAACTGTGAAGAAGCCTCACATAGGTTTAGTTAACCCTGAGGCAGAGTTACTGCTGTAATTGTAATTCCAAATGTCTTCATCTAAAAGACATATTTCTCTATATTGGTAAGTTTCATGATACTCTGAAATTCTAGATCATCAGCTGATGCCAAACCTCAATGTGATTCAAGAGGGAGTGGGTGCTCTCTCTTCCCATGTCTCCATCATTTCTCCCTATGCTTCTATCCAGCCTAATTAATACTTTGTGAATGATAATACTTATTGGCTATAGCCTTTGTGTCAGGAATTAAAAAGAAAGGGAAGACATTCTGCTATTAACACATTGGGATACCATCAGAGGAAAAGTTGTCATCAACAACATGGCAGTTTAAAGTAGGTATACTTTGTAGTCAATTATCTTGACCTACATCTGGACTCTAGTCTATGGAAGCTAGTACATCACTCAGCCATTTAGAGTGTCTTTCATTTGCATTACTTGCAAAGGAGCCAACAGTGTAGCTCTTTTCTTTGCCACATAAAACAGTTTCAGGACAAAGTACAATTGAAAGACTAGGCTATAGTTTGGTTAAAGGGTTGTTTCCTTTACTACTGCTGTTTCAAAGCTGGCTTCTAAATACCACATTTTGTTTCCAAATGAAATTAATTTGTTTCTCTGTGGTGAATGGTGAGGCCTGAACAACCTTATAGAACCACTACACTTGTTAATTTCCATTCTCTCTGGCTGTTGTCTCATCTCATAGTTGTCCTCAACTAGAGGTAGAAAGACTACTACTTGCTTTTGTACTTTCTCTCTTCTATGGATATGCTCTCCAGAATTCTGATCTTAACAAAGTGAATTTGTTACTTTTTCTGCAAATAGATTGGCAAAGAACATTATCTTCTGCCTGTTGCTTTCTCTGTAATATGATACAGTATGAAAACCATGAGTCATACAGGCATGGGTTGCATGTCACCAAGGATGATATGGACCACATTTCTGTTAGTTTCAGTTTGCATTCCCTCTGCATAATATTTTCTTGCTGTAACTGATCTGTTTTCCAGCTGTTTTGTCTCTGTCTGGTTCACCTTCATTGGAGGCTGTGCTTTACCACGAGTGCTGTGACCTTCAGAGTCAGGACCTGCTCCTGAGACAAAGGCTATGCACTGTTCCTTATGCTAGAAGTCCCATTGGCCTTTTGCTAAGAAATTGACAGTTCTTAGCATTTGAACAGCCAAAACATCCTTTGGAGAAGAGTTATGCTCTCTGGGATCCAAATTGTTCAAGTTGAAAATTCAAGTTCCTTGATTTTTCAAGGGCATTGACTCTCT